CACTTTTTAGCCGTTCGAATTTCTCAAAAAATATCTCAAAACGTTCGCCTCGACGAGAGGACAAACTCTGCTCCCGGTGCGCCTCGCACCAAAGAGCGCGGATCAGGAGATATCGAGGAAAAACCAATTAGAATTTTTAACTCATGATTTTTAGAATTTTTAATTAGAAAAATTAAAAAATATATATATATTTTTTTTTAGCCGTTAAAAATTTTTAAAAAAAGTCTCAAAACGTTCGCCTCGACGAAAGGGCAAACTTTGCTCCAGGCGCGGCTCGCACGAAAGCACGCGGATCAGGAGATATTTCAAAAAAACTAAATAAAATTATTATAAAAAATAAAACTACTCAAGAAAACAAGCTAATTAGTGTTTGACTAATCAGCCCGTGCACCCCCGTTGGTTGAGGAAGGCCGCGGCCTTGGGGGTGCTGCTCCCCTCCCCGGCAACGACGCCAAAGTTGTGAGGAAACCCGGGGAGGGGTCACCTACGTTTCGCAGAAGCCAAGGGCAACGACGCCTGTCACTCGCCGCGCCCGCTTCCGAGGTCCTCGGCGACCCGTAGGGAATGAGGTTAGAGTGTATAGTTACTTTCCCTGCCTTTATCTTGTTAATTTTGGTAATCTCACAAGTTCACACCACGCTGAGTTCAGACTGTCAAATGTCCGTTCAGGAAATTCGCCGAGTCAGCAAGTTTGATTGGTCTACTGATCAGATCAGCAAGCTCGTCCCACAACAAGTTTGAATAGTTTACTAACAGTTCTGCCAGTTCACAAACTAGGCGGCCCGAATTGCCAAGAAACAGATCTACAAGTTTGCCCACCAACAAATAAAAATAGTCATTTAACAGTCTGGCATATCCGCCCAACAGCAAGTCAGAATAGTCAACTTCAGATCTGTGAGTTCATTCACTAGGAGGTCCGAATAATCAAGCAACAGCTCGGCGGGCTCGCACACCGGAGGAATTTTGCAGTCACCAAGAGAAGGAGTAATAATACTAATTTTAATGTCGAGGAACATACCCGTCACTCTTCTCTCCTTCCCCTCTCTCTCACACACTTACACACACACATACACAAAGAAGCAGAGATATAGTCACACTCACTCGAACAGACTCCCCTTGCACAGAGAAACAAGCTTGGTGTAAAAGCACGTCCAGTGAGCAGTGAGCACGCGTCCTGTCAATAGCCATCAGGTCTCTGGATCGTCAATCGATAGTGGGCAATCGAATGTATTTGACGCGCTCTCTGGGGTGGTACCCTCTGGCGCGCATGTGATCGRTCATCATACGGGTGAAACGAGAACGAACTTGCAGGTAGTTCATAGAAAGATAYGCAGCAGTTTTCTTTGTCTGTTGGAACTTTTGTCTGTTGGGTCACTCACTGCGCGCACGTTCCAAGGTAGATAGCTGTGATAAATCTGGTCTTTGCGAATAAATGCCCGTTYGTTACCTTCTCTATACAAAGGGTCCCGCCATGTATCTGATTAGATAATTGTTCCCATTCGATGATCAGATCCGCATGATCAGGTCAATTAGCTCTTTTGGGTCGCTGTGGCCTCGCTCTCTCTCACGCACGCTATCCCTCGTCTGCACTATCCCTCTTCCTTCAAATACAACGCATGATGTTGTCTGGGGGGGGTACAGTCAACAGCGGGGGTTCCAACTTAACAGGGGTTCGCTGGCTTGAAAATGTGAAAAAGAACGTGCGGACTCTCTCTCTCCCGTTTCCCTGCATAGCTCGGATGACTCTACCACCTTTTTCCCTGCTCCGTGTGTTCAAGTCTGGATGTACCTGATCATTAGGTCCAGTAGGATGGGATTTTAATAAAATTAATAATAATATATATTTTTCCTCCAGCTAGCCAGCGCTGTCCCCACTAGTCTATCACCCGCTGGTTTGCTGGCTCTCTTCCTCACATTTGCCTGTTCTCTGATTCGAGTGCACACCCTCACACACACACACAGTCTCTCACTCCCGCCGTGCAGTCCCCTTCTCTCTCACTCTCCCTCTCACACGCGAGTAACCGCCTGAGTGTCGACGCGTCTCCCCCGTGCTTGCAATGCTCCGCAACAGTTGTGCGTCGGGTACGCCTGGCATGCCATCCACCAGTCCTCTCCCCTCATCCCCCGTGCAACAGTCTGCGCATCGATGTTTCCATCCTGAGCCCGGTATCGCGGGTACGCCTTGCACACCGTCCCCCTTTCTCCTCTGTCYGGCCCTATATTCATTCAGCATCTGCTTGTACAGCMRAGAYCATCGGCACCTGGTACGTGAGCACCGCCCTCGAGCCAACAGATGGGTGTCGTAGTACCAAGGCCCTTAAGGCCTAGGCACGTCACAGTCGGGCCAGTTCTCAGTTAATCCGCTGGTCAATTGCGCCTGAATGTCTCTCCCCACTGCAGTAGCCGATTCCGCTGGTTCCGGGGCCGGACTCAAACAATCATTGAGAAATAGGGACCACGGACCTGCTGCCACATAGGGGCGAGCAACATGCCGTACTATCCCGAACCTGAATAGCCTGCACCGCACTGGTACCGAGTCTGACCGAACCTGAAGAGCAGAGGTGGGCTGCTGTATCACGCCATCTCAGGACCGTGCAGCCAAGATGTTGAAGTTCCAACCCTGTCATAAACTGTTGTAGTGGCCGCGGCCAGGTAATAAATCACCGCAGTGTCCCAAACCTGAGTATAAGTCACGCTAACGGCACCGAAGCTGAAACGAGGTATCACGGTAGGAGCGAGTCCAAAATAAACTGATGTTGAAGCCGAAGCAACTGTCGTACCGGTTCCGGCCCTGGAAATAAATTACTACAGTGCCCGCAATATGTCTCGGTAATGGCCTCAATCCTGAAACAAACTGCCGTGGTAGCGCCGAACGTGAAATAAGTACCCGTGATGGCGCCGATTCGGGAATAACTGTTGTCAAGGTCCCGTACTTGAAATAAGCCTCCGTAGTGCTGCCGAGCGTGAAAATGCTATCGTGGGATGTGCCAAACCGACGCCGACCTTGAAATATGGCGGCGCAGCGGTTCCGGACCSTGGCTGGCTCCAAACCTGAAATAAACTGTCGTAGGGGTTCTGGTCCTGAACATAGATCACCGCTGCGTCCCCAGGGTCGCCGTGCCCATACCGAACTAGAAACACGCCGGACTCCGTAGGATGCAGCCACTCCATAACAGTGTAGAATCTCTTTGAACCCCCTTACTCGTACCAAGCCACATCCCATACTCTCTACCCAAGGTAGCACCACCCCAGGTGGTCCATGCGACTCCCGCTCTCAGAACACCCCAACTGTGGCAACGTTAGTATTCAGGCAACAGGGAAAGTGACGCAGGATTCCTCGACCATCAGCAGAAGTGAAAACTGTTAGAATCCGGGGAAAATGATCAATCAAGGGTCAGTGCTGACAGCGGGTATTCAAGGCGAAACAAGGCCAATCTCTCAATAGTCGTGGGTTCCCGCCCCTTTCATCGTTTTTTTTTATCATTCTTCCTTCTCCTTAATTCTATTGTCGGAAATAGCAAATCAACCGTAAATTCCCCAAAATTAAATTCCGAGAAAGTTTAAATAAATGGCCGAATTTCTTTTGTTTCTTTCCTCTTTTTCCATGTTTAATCTTTTTTTATGTTTTTAATTTCTCTGCCGGGAACACAAAATAACAAGGATATTCCCCCTAGAATCAAATGCCGCAAAAAATAAAGAAATTAAGGGATATTATATTTTTCATTCCTCCACTTCTGGCCTTGATCCCTTTTCCCCATCTTTAATTGTGGTACTAGTATGGGCAAAAATTTGAGGCTTCATTTCGGCCCCGGTTGCGCCTAGTGCGGCCACTCATCTCGTCGTCTTTGAGGGTTGCTCGTAAAGTTAAGCACGCCCAAAATCAGGGGTGCCTTGAGCTCCCATAATTTTTGCTGCCTGGTCAACCCGGAGCACCGTCAAAACACGGACTTCTCTTTGAGCCTAAGACCCAAAACCCCAGATTTCAGGTGGCGCACTGCTTGTGGCCGCCTGACAGCGTATTGCAGCACTCAAGCTTCCCTGAGCAAGTCGTCAATTAGGTACCGTCATGTCGTCAACTAGTCTTCTTCTCCAACGCAATTAGCCACTCGAGGTTAGTCCCCTCCTGTCTCTCTCTTCCCCGAGAGTCATCCGTAACCGTGTCACTTTCTCTTTTCTTTCTGGGTCTACCCTACGTAAAGTTACACACACGTGTCGTCGCCTGCCTCTCTTTTCCCGAGTCCAACACATAAAGACTCCCGCATTTCGCCTGCTCACTAGACCAGCATTGGCGTCTGCCTAGATGTCGCACTGCATTGGCGACCTTCTCTCTTGTCATTAGCCTTCCTCTCCTTTGAGACTCTCCCGCGCAGGCTGACCTATGTGGCACTTCTCCCCGTTCCACTCGTCATAACCTTTGAGCGACTCTCCTTCACTCACACACATCGCTTGGCACAGTCACCCTTCTGGTTAGTCTCTCCACTCCGGGCCTTCTTCTCTCCCCAGTCACGCGTCCCGCTCATATGCGCCAAGGAAGAAAAGTAAATATCAGATGTTGAGCATTCTCACGTGATCTGTGCGCGACATGATCGAATAGCTGGCCAACCATTTTTGGGGCACATCAGAGCTCCTTGGAAGCTCTCTACGACGATCCCCTCAGGAAGCTATCCCCCACTGGTTATCTTGACAGCACGCAGAAATGCCAAAACGCGCAGGGCCCTCAGTCACCCGCGAGACGCCAGTCGTTGACCACTCTCTCGCTCCTCAGACCACGCCACCTGTCGCGCGTGTGCTCGTGTAACTCTCTTTTCTTGTCCCTCGGACTAGCACATGTTGACCCTCTCCGGACGCTGCCTTCTCACACGAGTCCTTTCCCCCTGTTTTGCTTCTCACTCGTCCCGCGGCCTCTGGGCATCAGCTGTCGAGAGCTGACCTCAGGTCCCTCTTCAACCGGCCTCACGGCCCGGTGATGCCTCTGGATCTCGCCTGGTCTATTCCAGGACCTGACATCTGTCTCCCAATCTCCCGATTCGCTCATTTCACTCTCACCGCCTGAGTCCCTGTCCACGTGGGCCTGTTCCAGGTCCGCTGTGTCCATTGAGGTCTCAGTCTCATGATACGAGACCGTTACCTGCAACCTTGCAGTCACTCCGTCCCTCCTGCAGCGCCTCTCCGCACGGTCTTTTGCCTCCGTTATTGCATCCTGCAGTTTTCCGTTCGTCTGCATCTCCACTTCTTTTGCCCCTTCCACGTTCATCTTCATCTTCACTTCATCTCCCCCATCGTAGTTTAGCATGACTGTGATCCAGGGCCCTTCCCCAGACATGGGTCTCCACCGGGCCTGGTGGTACCAGTATCCAGGTCTATACCCATGCAACGCCATAGCTAGGCTCAGTCCGATAAACAGCGCACCGGCCCCGCCTACTAACCCGAATGACCAGTACCTACTACTGGGTACACGGACAGGGTCTTCAGATGGGCTTACACGTCCACCTCACCACTCCGTTCCCCCCTTCATCGACTAGGCCGCAATCACATAGCGAGACCGTCTGAGCTCTCACCGTATGAGACAGTCCTCCCTTCTTTATTGGATCGCTGTCTATTGCATTCCCAAACTCAACATAGATAGCCCCGATATTTTCTTGTCGATCTGTGTTCTTGCTTCGACCAAACTTTTCCTTTTTTTTTCTTTTTTTTTTTAATTACGTGAAACAAAAATTGAAATGAGAATGAGAATAAAATCAAAATAAAATAAGCGAAACAGCGCGGAAGGAAATTAAGAACAAGAGACATAATCGTCAACGGTCATATCACTAGCTCCCTCTTGGGCTCGGATGTGACCTGCAGACTCAACGTGGAGGTCCCATAACGGGTTACTAGTGGATGCCCACCCTTCTTTAAAACCTGCAGCCTAACTTATGACTATCGGGTACCCGTGTCCGATGGCAAGGAGGGGGCTTATCACCCTCCATAGGCGGGTGATAGGCTCCCTACCAATGCGGCCGTGGGTCGCCCCTCTTTTGAGGTCCTGCAATGCGGCACTCAGTCGAACAAGCTCAGAGCAAATAGTATACGAGGAGTTGGCCCACTTAGGCCGCACAAAATAGCTCAAGCCATAATTTCCAACCGTTGGCTTTCCTGTGAAGTGACAGGCTAAGGGCAAACTGAATCGGACGATCGAGAGGAAGAAAACTAAGTAACAATAGAGAAAAGGAAAAGATGGCGTTTCAAAATTCTGCTGCGCCGCAGCCTCGCCCGAACAGCGATACGAGCCCACACACAAATCTAAAACCCGACTTCCAATCTTTTCCCTTCCTTTTCCCCCTTTTCTTATTTTTCTCCCTTCAGTCCTCTCTGTATCTGCCCCCTTAACCTGGCCACCGGGGTCTCACCGCGAGGTTCGGACGAATAGGTCTGGTACAGGCGATATACAAGGGGTCAGTAATACCCAGGCCATAAAACCGCAGTTATAGTCCGAAAACCCGAATCGGCGGCCCTTTCCCTACGAAGTGACAGATCGACAGGCGGAAAACTGAAAATAGGAATTTTAAGTAATAATCACAATAAAATAATAGCAATAATGATGACGACATTTCAAATTTGGAAAGGAAACCATAGCATCACAGCGACCTGAGGCCACCAGATTTTCCCACACAAAAGAAAACGAGTTTAAGTTTGACACTTTTTCTTTTTGTCTTTTTCTCTTTTCCTTTCCCCGACAGCGACTTCTACCCCCTTGCACCTAACCCATAACTTGGCAACAGGGCACTCGGCGCGCAGCAGAAAAGACTGCGCCAACCCTTTCGCCTTTGCGTCCCAGGGCAGACCCGGCGGCTACCACGACCACAGGCCGGTTGGGCTCTGCTGTACAGCAGGGCGCCGAGCCTGCGTGGACAATGGAAAGCCCTGTGATGCACCTTTTGTTGAGGCAAGCACCAAACAGGGTCATCCACGTCATGGTACCGCCCAGGTACCAGGGAATTTTTAATTTCGGAACATACCCCTAGGCCCCACATAGGTCACGACACCGAGATAAAGGGCGACATCAGGCAGGGACCTGGTACACAGAGGAGGGCCGGGACTTCGTGCCCTCCGACAACGCATATGTCATGCTCAAGCATTCCAATCAACAAAAAAATCATTTAGTCCTAGTTTCATCAGAACTAAAAATTTGGTCGGCAATCCTGTTGGCTCTACAATCATCAACAAGAAAAAAAAGATCGCGCGCACCTCAAATCTGCGCGCCCACACACTCCCTACTTTAGTCAACCATTCAATCAACGTAAGTAACAAAAACAACCGCAACTAGCGTGGCGTACTCAAACTTTCAAGTTAAACCAACTTATTTTCTGTCACTTACAAAAACCAAGGCGGATACCCTTGTAAGGGTATCCGCACCGACCGCCACCAAATGCTACCGCTGTTGTCCAGAAGTATTGTCGTAAAAGAAACATTCCGCCACGCAATTCTGGCAACACCTCCCCTCAAAACATGGACGGCACACTAAAAATTTACGAAGCACGACCACCAAATCACCACATGGATGATACTTCTTCTCACGCCAAAAAGAATCCGGCACTGAGACCATCACCTCTCCACACTCACACGAAAGGTGACGTCGACGTCGTGTGGTAAACCCGACAGCATCCCCTTAAAAAAAACAAAAAATTGTCGTCGAGTCAAAATTTTGATAGTGTAACCCCACTGAAAAATGTTACAATTATTGCACCGTCAGATGGGTAGCATCTTCCCATTCACGCACAAAAAGTCTAACGCTGCGCGGTGAATCCGACAACATATCCCCAACCCGTGTCATTCGTTGTACAATCTAACCTTTGACGAAGTCTACCAGCCTAGCATCATCACAGGGGTGGGGCAGTGAGCTCCCAACCTCTGGCTATGGCTGCCCTTCCCCCACTCTCCACTCCTGCAGGCTTCCATCTCCTCCAACAGAGTCTCCCCTCATCCTGCAGGCCTTTAACTCTCCACCGACAGCCTCTCCCCTCCAAGCAATACTTCCTCCAGCTGCTCGAATGAATAAAACAGCTAGGGGAAGAGCTGCCTTTATGTGTTCGACGGTTTTCTCTAGGCCTCAGACTCATCTTGAGCCCTTGATCTTGATCCAGGCCAGGAACAGTCGACCCCTTTGAGCTCATTGTCCCCTCTCTCTGTTTTTTTTTTTTTTTTTTTTTTTACCCAACACTTTCTCCAGTGCACGTTCATCGAAAGAGTGACTAAACTCAACAACTTTTCAAATGGCCATTCAGATACAGACCTAGTCTCAGTGTTCACACTCAGCCCAACTAGCCTGAATGCGGGGCGTGTCCGAGGACACATTCGTGGTTGTTTCTCCTTTCTTTCCCCTTCCTCTCTCTTCTCTATTTTTTTTCTTTTGTCTTTTTAACTTTTTTTTTTTTTTTTCGGGGCAACTCGTCGTTCAAAAACGAACGAGCACCCATCCTTCCTCCAAGTCATTTCGCAGAGCTAAATTAGAGTCTAGCTCAACAGGGTTTTCTCCCCCCTGCCCCTTGCCTGTACCTAGCACAGGATGGGCGCCAAATTCGGGGGCGTGGGCTAGCTGCTGTTCGTTTTAAAAAATGAATGGGCGTAGTCGAAACAAAGGGAGTCAAAAAAAAAAAAAAAAAAAAAAATGATTGCTCATCGAACGCCTGCTACTCACCTTAGGGACTTTAAGTTTTTGTCACTTTCGATGCCTGCCACCTGCAACCCGTTTTTCAAAAATGAACGAGCATTTATGCAAGTCGTATTTATAAAGAGGAAGTGGGGGGGAAGAATCACTGTGGTGGTGTACATTTTCATGTTCTAGGGGTAGATTCATTGTTTTTTTTTCTCATCCTGTCGATGGAGTACCATCAGGTCAGCCGCAGCTGAAGACTTACCTGTTCTCTCTCTCTCTCTCTCTCTCTCTCTCTCTCTCTCTCTCTCTCTCTCTCTCTCTCTCTCTCTCTCTCTCTCTCTCTTTCTCTCACCCCCGGCCCCCCCCCCCCAAACATACACACACACACATCCGTAGTGTATAGTTTCATGTCCTAGCAATAAATTCATTCAATTTTGCTTTTCCTATCGATGAAAATAGCACTTACAGCCCGTTCGTCAAAACGAACGAGCGTTTGTCCTGCTCGTAAAACAAGAAGAGAGAAATCTATGACAAAAAAATCTAAGGGAAAAACAAAAATCTAAAACAAATCTAAGGAAAAAAAAAAACTTACATTAATTGAACGGTTGCCCGTTATCGAGAGCATCTGTCTGGCACCACTCATAGGTAGTGCGGGACCCTCCCAGCCGCGTCACGCAGGAGTCAGAGTACACATCCTCGTTGTGATATATACATGGAGCTTCCGTAAGCCGCTCCGACCGGGTGCGCCAGCCATACCTCTCGTGAGCCCCTACGACAGGACAGGGCCTACGCGAGGCACGACTACTTCCACCTTACGGGAGCTGTCACCTCCCTTTGGTGGGCGTATCCCCGCCGAGCTACCAGTCCACAGTACGAAAGTTGATCAGCTGCAATCGCAGAGATGGACCAGCCGATGGCGTTTCTCGTTCGTTGTAGCATAGGGGGTACGCCCAGTACTACGCCTCTATCGGACCCGCACGCGAACCGACATCTTGGGGGGCTGAGGTCCCAAGCACAGCTCGTCGTAGGTCGACTAGGACGTATCCCACACGCCACGCGCACACCACTCTAAGGTACATAAAAGTAAAGCACATGCACACATGCACACGAGTACAGAACGACGCAAAGGACGTACAACGTGACACCCTCCTAGTCCCTTAGTATCCATCCCATAACTTCCTGGAGCGGGAATCGACCGAGAGTCGTGCGCGAGACTTAATCTAAAGCCGCGCGGGCGTAGGCCTTCTCATATCGACTAGCAATGCCAACTCACACAAGCAGTCGTGAAGATGACGTACTATGCAGTGCCCATAATCGAGCGGTCCCTCGTGGATCCGAGTACCGCTTATGACACTCACGTGTCAGACTCGAAGTATCGTGAAGGTTCCGCCCTTCACGACATTGCACGGCTGAAGGACTAGCCGTGCGGCCGCCGCGGCACGTCCGGCTTTCGACCCGAGTGCCCTAGCGGTCAAGGCAAATAGGCTCTGCCCGAGGGGGGTCCCCTTCAGTGCAGGGCCTATGGCTTGGGATGTCTTGGCCAAGGACCTTGAATCCCGGCCCAGGACCAACGTCCGACTAGCAATCTCCAAAAAACACTTATCTAAGTAATGGGGTCGTCCTTTCTCTATTAACCCAACCCCTGATTTACTCCTTAGCACGCGGCCCCCTTTCAGGCCACACAAGTACCTTACATAGCTACGCATACATACATATATACACACATATATACTCATATGGGAATGAACGTGTGACGATCACATCTCACTGTCATAGTGGACCTCCTTATAGCCATACACATATATATAAGATCGCAGGGCAGTCCAATCCAATAATCCAAGCCCCAGAACATACCTGCAATCACATCAAAGAGTCAAGCAAAAGTCCATACA